GATACAATTATGTGGAGGGTGGAATCGGTGGATTCCTCCTGCAACATTAACACAGCGAAGTTCAGTGGTTGAGCATGTGTAAATGTAGCCTTGATTGCAAGGCTGTGCTGCATCAGCGGGCACACATCACTGGCCATGGCTTACCTGGCTCAGGCCACATGAACACACATGGCGAAACCTCGTAAAAGAGGCATCGTACGAAGCCCGCAGTGAATACTCACACTATACCATATTATACCAGGGTAATGTACGTATACACTGTACTGTACACACACACATACTGGAATTTGAATCCTTGTGGAGTCATTTCTTTGTTCTCGTGTACTAAAGTTTTCAAGTTTGAAAGTGTACTTCCAAAATGCTCCTATTTTAACCAGAATTAATTTCCTGGGCTGAAATTCAGACTTAATGTCCCTTACGTAAAATACTTCAATGTGCGATGAATCAACCCACCTTGGAAGTATCTAGTTTTTGAGTAAAATCCATACACATATCTATTTCGTGATAACCGTGTGGAGATGTATTCACCTATGGAGATTGCTCTGTGGAGACGTATACAATCTATGACCAGCAATGCGCACACGCTGATGCAGCACATACACAGCCTTGCATTCAAGGCTAGTGCAATATATGCATAAACAGAAGACCTTAATTTTTATTTTTGTGAAAAAAAGAAGAAATATTGGGGAAGTGAGGAACGGAACAATAGTTGCTAAAATGCACATTTCTTTTGTATTATTAGTCATTAAAGGGAATATACATCATTTGCTTTTGCTGTAATTTTCAGAAATGGATGGAATTGGGGGGTTGGAAATATATAGCAAATATAGTTACACTGACTTTTTTGAGGTTTTGGGTTCGAAAATGCTATAAAAACCAAGAAAAACGATCATTTTCCTGTAGTCTGGTTCCCTGACTCCATATAAGAAGAAACAGAGCAGTTTACATACATTGGGGAATTGTAAGGTCAGGGAACCAGTCTAGCTGGCTCGTACCCGTTCATAGGTTTGTAATCGATTGCAGACAAGTGCAATGGTCAATTGGGGCCAGTATTTGAAAAAAAAGCCAGTTGTTTCCAACGCTGATCGGCCGATCAGCGTTGGAAATTGATACAAAAATACCACTTTTCTTGAAAATGACAGTATACCAGGTGCCATAATTTTACAGGATGCTTTAGACTGTCATTTACCAACATCCTATTAAGGTATTTCGCAAAAACTTGGAAGTTTTATTTTCCGATGTTTGCAAATGTTGTATATTCCCTTTAAAAAAATATTGTGAATTAATGTAAAGTATTGAAGGCTTTGATAAAACAAGAAAACATTTCAGTTATTTTTATTAACGAGTTTCCTGGGAGAAGACATTAAAGCGGAAAATAAAACAAACGAAGAAAATCCCCTTTTTATTCGCAGCGCATTACACGCGTCATAAAATTTTGTTTGGTCTAATTACCTTGGCCGGCAAGTCACGAAACACACAGGCAGCAGAATGTCATGGCCGATTTTTATAAGCGCGAGGCTTTTCCCTCCCTGTGTTGCTATGGTAACAAGAAACAAACAGCTTGTAATTGACAGCATATGATAATGAGGTGCAGTGGGGAACAAAAAAGGACTAAGATTTTTTTCCTTTTTAAATAAGAGGTTCCTTTTAGAATACGTAGATCTATGCAAGCTATACCAAAGGCCAAAGTGATCACAAATATTTTATTGTCTCGGTATTAAAGGGAATATATACATGTACAACATTTGCTTTAGCTGTAATTTCCAGAAATGGATGGATTTGGGGATTGGTATTTTATAGCAGATGTTGATACACTGACCTGTTTACAGTTATGTGCTCATGTATGCTATGAAAACCAAGCAAAAAGTGTTGTTCTTTAGACAAAATGGAGCAGTTTATAGATTGTCAGGTCAGGGAACCAGACTAGAAGGCTTGCACTTGTTTACTCATGCGTAACCGATTGCAAACAAAATGTGGACTAACTAAATTTGGTAAATTGGGGGCAGTATTAACAAAAAGGTCAGTTTTTTTTTCCAACGATGGTCAGCCGACCATCATTGGATATTGATACAAATATCACTTTTCTTGAAAATGACAGCACACCAGGTGCCATGATTTCACAGGATGCTTGAGACTTTTATTCACTGACAGTCCAGTAAGGTGTTTCATGATTTTGTTTTTTGATGTTTGCAAATGTCATGAATGTTGTATAGTGCCTTTAAAAGGGATATGATTTTGACATTTACAATTTGAAATGAGTTGCGCATATTGTAGCAGTACCTGCAGAACTCACTGCTAGTTAGTCTTGTCACAAATTCCAGTGAGAAATCATTAAAAAGCAATTAAATTGACTGAAATAGAATTCCTACCTGCAATAAGTTTTATTGGTTATTTTTTTTTTTATTGTTTTCCTGTTTCAAAGGGTAATTAGCTGTCAATCTTACATAATTATGCAACGCCCGTTCTGTTAGTTTCATCAACTGGTGCGTTCATACACACACCGGAATTTGTATCCTTGTGGAGTCTTTTCTTTGTTCTAGTGTACTAAAGTTTAAGAGTTTGAAAGTGTACTTTCAAAATGCTCCTATTTGAACCAGAATTAATTTCCTGGGCTGAAATTCCGGACTTAATATCCCTTACATAAAATACTTCAATTTGCGACAGATCAATACACCTTGGAAATTCCTAGTTTTTGAGTAAAATCCATATATCTATTTCGTGATAAGCTTGTGGAGATGTATTCACCTATAGAAATGGCTCTGTTCCCTATTGTGCACATGTCTCCACAGGGTACCGTGTGCCAGTCTTTAGCAAACATTACCTTTCCCCATTTGAGATACATGTACAACAATTGCCATCAGTCTGTGTGTGATAGCATATTGCTTTCTCTCAAACATCACTTACGGTACCCCCCCCCCCCCTTTACTCTTAACATTTTTTTTCTTGCCGCACTCTTTCATGCAGAGTAAATTCAACACGTCTAAAAAAAAGTCTACGTAAACTAATAAAATCACATTTGTACATAATTCTGTAGCCAGCGGGGCTACAAAAATCATTCCCCACACAAACTGTATGTGCGATAACACACAGTGCATTGTGGACCCAGCTGAAATGTTGTTTCGTCTTCGCCGCCTCCAATGTATTCTGATACTGTTTAAACACAAGTCTCATGTTTAAGGGTAAAAGATGAATAAAGTTTGGGGCCGGCAGGACAGGTACAGACTGTTAGTTGGCGGCAGTATAAGGAGTCGTGCTTTCTTTTTTCTCTTCAAAATCGTGTTGTCTCGTTTGTCGGGTGCCAGACAAACTTATTTACGGCGTGTGCTTTATATGGGTGATATGGTTTAATTTGAGTGTACAATTCCAATCCATAAGTTTGATGCCAACGTTTTGCAAGATGTCTGCATTGATGCAGAAATAAACTGCCGGAACCCTATCTTTGTACCACATTTTATTTTCAGATTGAACGAAAATATCATGTCATCATGTCCTTTAAACACACTTACGTACATGTAAATAACTGAAGCCTATACTTTTTGTAATACCGGTATGTCAATCCTCTTGTGTGTTTAAGACCATTCACATGTAAAGGTTCATCCAAATTTTGAATATTAAGTAATTCTGATTTTTTTCCCCCCTGGCTTTGATTGAATGAAACCATCAGTATTTTCTTAAAACAAATCTACCGGTAACTTATCGTAGCTCACAAGACCATTAACATGTAAATGTCGATCCCAAATTTCAATATTGAATGGTACTGAAAAATGAATACATAATTCCCAAAATGATATATATGTACTATATGGTCTCTTGAGGGCAGTATTGCAATTTAGGGGACTGCACATGTAATTTCCTTTAATACTGTCACACAGTTATTGCTTCAAATTGCATAAACTCCTGCTTTCTGTAATTGCACTGCCTCCGGCAATTGTCATTACTTGAAATGTTTGATGCTATCAACAGATTCCAAACTGAGAAATGCTTTCGGGCAAACATTCAGATGGATTTTTCAAAATTGATAAAAGATGGCAAGATTCATAGACTGGAAAAAAATACATTAGCCTTCACTCACTTGTGACTTAAAGGGAAGATACAACATTTGCAAACATCACAAAACAAAATGATCAAATTATCACGAAATACCTTACCGAATTGTTAGGGAATGATATTGTAAAGCATCCTGTAAAATCATGGCTCCTGGTTTGCTGACATTTTGAAGAAAAATTGTATTTTTCCAACGCTGGTCGGCTGACCAGTGTTGGAGAAAACTGTTGTTTTTTTAAAAAACTGCTCCTGATTTTTCCTAATTAGTTATTCCGCATTTACTTTGCAATTGATAACACACCTGTGAAGGGGTACAATCCTTCTAGACTGATTCTCTGACCTTTCAATTCCTCAAAGTCTATAAATGGCTCCGATTCATCTTAAGTGGGGTCACGGAACCAGACTACAAGAACATGATCGGTTTTCTTGGTTTTTCCACCATCTACAAGCCTAAAACGCGAAACAAGTCATTTTTACAATATTGTCTATAACATACTGATCCTCCAAATTCATTTATTTCTGAAAATTGCAGCAAAAGCAAATGTTGTACATTCCCTAATTAAATAGATATCAGATCATCCAGATTCTTGTCGAAAATTCATACCTGTCAAAAGTTCATACCAGACATCAATTGGCAAACTTTTCTTTACATGTTAACTCTGTGTATCTGTGTTCTCAGACATTCTTTTAAAACCAATTTCTGATGTTTGAAACCTTTAAAAATGGTACATTTACCACAGAATTAGCACAAAATCATGACAGTTTCTGTATTTTTGTTGTTTTCAATTATTGAGCTTATCATTTTAAATTGCCTCACCGTGTTTTAAAAAAAATTGTTTGATTTAGCTAAACTAATAAGTGACTCTGTATTTGATCTTTCATAATTCTTTCATTTGCAAAACTCTTTTTTTCTGAAAGTTGTTTAAAAATTGTCCTTCCTATTTCTCCATCTGCAGGCTTTGGTTTCGTTGTCATGGAAACTGAGGAAGATGTGAACAAGATCTGCGAGATGCATTATCATGAAGTCAAAGACAAAATGGTGGGTTACAAGTTCCTTCTTTAAGAACCTTCAACTTTTTCTTATTTTCTCTTAGTAAAGTTTTGGGGCCTTTTGATTATGGCCGCCATGCTCCAAAATGGCTTATCAATAAGCCATTTGCGAATAACCTATACCCTTTGGTAAATTTGAATAACATCTGGTACACTGACTTGCTCAGAATGATTGGCATGTTTTAACTTTAAAATCTCCAGACTAAAGACACTGTTGCTATATCACATGATTCGGGGCAAGCTCTTGCATAGTTACGTAAGAGACGCTCGGCACCAATACATTGTTCACAATGGGTGAGAATGGCACAAAGACACCAGACAATGCCGGAGCTGGGGGTTGCTAGCGTAAGGCTTGCCCCAAATCACGTGATATAGCAGCAGTCTCTTTGGTCTGGAGAATTCAAAGTTAAAGTGTGCCAAGCATTCGAGCAAGTCGTGGTTATATTATCATTATTACTATCTCTATAATAAAAACTGGATAGCGTACAGAAAACCGCAGAAGAAAGCCATTTGAAGCCATAATTGGAAAGACCAGTTGGTGATCTATAAAGGACAAGTTGCCGTCTTTATAGGCATTTGTGATTCACTTTTGTAACATCGTGGTTCACCTATTTACCTTTTGTCCACCACCACTGACCACGGTTCAACATTTTTCAATCATCATGGTTTACTTTTTGAATGCCGCAGTTCACTTTTTGGGACGACGTTTGGAAACATAGTCACAACGGAAAATTGTCCTTTTAGAACATCATAATACGTGTACGTGAACAAAATGGGCGTTAAATCTTGATACAGCGCACACTGTATGTACGCGTAGAATGTTCGTATATCTGTGGGCATTTTCGCAAGACCGGGGCGAACTGGTCAAAATGCAAATTCAACTATGTGACTGGTGTATGGGTATCCAGTCTGTATATAGAGAGCAGTGGTGATAACTTGAATACACGTCTGGTAACCACACTCTCCTTCCCCTTCCTTGCAGATTGAGGCCAAGAAAGCACAGCCCAAAGAGGTCATGATGCCCCAGAACCAACTACGCCAAAGGACGGCACTCATGAGGAACATGTATGGCATGTATGGTGAGTGTCATGGATTGCAAGCAGTGGCCACGCCCAAATTACGTAACTAACAGCCACCAGTTGCATTAACTCAAATGGCTATGGGAAGCGGCTTCAACTGCTTTCATATACACATGTGTTAATTTTCATGCCGTGGCTATGTAATTCGGACGCGGCCATAGCAACTTCAGGGCTGTTGAAGCCATATCGGTCTTGTTCCCTGAAGCCTTGGTAGTGATTCTTTGGTTTGGTAACTGTATTGTGGCAGCCAGACTCGATTCACTACAACCTCTGAGAATGAGTTTAGCAGCACCCTATTGGAGCAGATTTGCAGAAAATATTGCTTAGATGTGGCCATAGCACCTTCAGAATTGTTGGAGCCATATTGGTCTTGTTCCCTGAAGCCTTTGGTAGTTATTCTTGGGTTTGGTAACCATGTTGTGACAGCCAGACTCGATTCACTACAACCTCTGAGAATGAGTTTAGCAGCACCCTATTGGAGCAGATTTGCAGAAAATATTGCTTAGATGTGGCCATAGCACCTACAGAATTGTTCAAGCCATATTGGTCTTGTTCCCTGAAGCCTTGGTTAGTGATTCTTGGGTTTGGTAACCATGTTATGGTAGCCAGACTCTATTCACTACAACCTCTGAGAATGATTTTAGCAGCACCCTATCGGAGCAGATTTGCAGAAAATATTGCTTAGATGTGGCCATAGCACCTTCAGAATTGTTGAAGCCATATTGGTCTTGTTCCCTGAAGCCTTTGGTAGTGATGCTTGGGTTTGGTTACCATGTTGTGGAAGCCAGACTATAAACTTTGAGAATGAGTTTAACAGCACCCTATTGGAGCAGCTTTGCATAAAATATTGCTTAGTAAAGTTATATGCTAAGCAGAAACCAGTTTAGAATCATTCCGAAACAATGCATCACATGTGCCATTCTTTTCAAAAGCTGTCATGCTTGTACTGTCGATTATGACATTCTCTGCCAGCATATATCCATTTAAGAAAGCAAAATTGTGTTGGTTGGGATAAAAAAACTTACCTTTGTTTTCGTTTCTGTTTTTTGTTGTCGATCCAGTTGCGCCGTGGACACCCTACACACAAGGTACCTGCGCTAACCCAAGTAAGAAAACCACCCCTTGTTAACCAATCTCCCTGACCCTTCTCTAGATTTGTTCAAATTATCCACTTCAGTTAAAATTAAAACGAGTAAACAAAAATTCAACTTTGTACTACATTGAAATGCTGCTTTAACGAACACCGCTATTACAAACATTTGGCTATAACGAACATCCCGCTTGGCTCCTGAAATAGTAAATTCTTTTTAGAATGCACAATCACTGTAACGAACGACCACTATAAGGAACATTTTTATGGGACCCCATCATGTTCGTTATAGCGGCGTTTTACAGGTACTGTACCAGAACCGTGGGTGCGAATCACTTGCACGCTACACACATGTATGCGTTCTCAACTTTTGTGACATTGTGTTATTTGGAGCATTTGTGATGAGGCACAAGTCAATCGCAAGTCTATCACAAGTCAGTCACAAGTCAATCACAAGTTAATCACAAGTTAATCACATGTCAATCCCATGTCAATCACATGTCTTCCAGTCACAAGTGAAATGTGGAAAAGGCTTCATTCAACCCTGTGACTGGACATTTGTGAATGGACTTTGTGATTTATTTGCAACCAGACTCGTGATGTATTTGTAATCCGTAACATTTATTGCAATCATTCTTGTGCACAATATTAACTCATTGATAATGTTGGCGACGCACTCCTGAGTTGAATACACCCAAGGTTAGACGTTTTGAAATTGAAAAAGAGAAGCTTTTATTTTTGTCACTGGTGGCTGTAAGCTTCCTATGTCTTGGTTTGTGGTGAAAAGCTACTCTGGGACGAGCCTCTTGAACCCCAAGTTTCTAATTTCGAAAGATGTTTTCATAAGGGAGGGGCTTCGTGCTTGAAATCCCAAATGGCATCATGTTAGGCTGTCGACATTCACCGTAAGACATAACTATGGGTCTTGATTCTTAACCCGCGGAGCAATATTGGAGAGGCTACTTGCGGTCGAGTTATGTTTGATTGACAAGCTGTTTGTGTGGGATTTGCGTTTGTCACGATCGTGTCAACAACCGTCGTGCCAAACTGATTAAATTCTCCCGCCTTTTTTTTAACTACATTGTTTTGGAGATAAAGTGCCATTTTCAAGGGTCAACAGTTACCTTGGTTCATGACTTCATTTTTTTTTATAAAAATGATCGTCAGTTTAACTTTGTATAACTTTTTTTTGTCTTTTCCGGCTTCTAGTGATAAATGGCACCTAAAGACAATCTGAATCAAATTTCAACAATTTTTTTTTTTCACTTTTCTTTTGTTTTTTTCACTTGCCTTTTAACTTGTGTTTTTAACAACTAATGTAGGTATTACTAGTGCATTGTTAAAAGATACTAACCACTGAAGAATTTGTCTCGAAAGCATTACAGTTGAAGTTTTTGTTGTATCGTTTATTTCAGTTTGCAACACCATTTACTAACCCACACTTGTGGTATTCTTTGGTCATAGAACTCATGTTATTTAGATTCACAGAATTTATTCACACAAAAAAGGCAAGTGGGGCTAGGAAATGAGGATTTTTTAATAGATATACAAAATATCTAACAACTTTATTTGGGTTTTGTCATGGAAAAAGTATATTTTTTATGAATAAGCCATTTGCGAGTTTAATTTGAATAAAATCTGGAAGGCTGACTTAATCTTTCAATGCTTTGCACGTTTTAACTTTGCCTTCTCCCGACCAAAGAGACTATCACTATATCATGTGATTCGGGGCAAGCCTTACGCTAGCAACCCCCAGCTCCGGCATGGTCTGTTTGATTAGCAACAGTGTCTTTGGTCTGGAGAATTCAAAGTTAAAATGTGCCAAGCATTCTGAGCAAGTCAGTGTACCAGATGTTTTTGAAATTTAAATCCCAAAGGGTATAGGTCACTCGCGAATGGCTTATTTGGAGATATTTCCTTGTGGGCTTTTTTGGGGGGAAGATGTTTCAAACTTTTCAGGGTAGGAGATTTAAGACTCAAAAATTCCAGTACTTCGTAACTAGGTTATAAGTAAATACCAAAATATGTGTTCTTTTTCATGTACCGGTATTGTCGTCCTTGTTGATTTTTGATAAATATAAACAAAGATGAAGTTGAACAATACTTACAATTGTGATGTAATTTCCCCCATACCTTATTTCCTTAGGCTTATCTCCTTCTATGCCGATTCTTCTGGAGTCTGTCCCTAATGTTAAAGGCAAGTTCCTGGCCTGAGATTTTTCTCTGTCCTTTATTTTTCTACCTGCGATGGTCACCCACAACTTAGGGAGACCATTTCAGCCATCCATCAGCTCAGTTTGTCAGGCATTTGATCACAGTGAATCATCAACAACACAACCAACGAAGTATCAATTAATCAGTTCACAATCACCTTGTCTTTTTACTCAACCAATCAGTCATGTACTTGTACCAATTATCAACTAATCAATCAGTCAATCTGTTGATTTGTCTATTGATCAGTTGTCTGTCAGTGAATCAGCAAGGGATTTGATTATTCGGTTGATCAATCATCCATCTTTCAACTGATCAATTGACCAATCAGTTGGCAATACATCAACCGTGCAATAGATGACTCTGTCATTTGATTGATTGATCTGTCAATCAACTGACAATCAATGAAACACCAGTCAACTGATCAATCAATGAAACACCAGTCAACTGATCAATCAACAGAATATCAATCAACTCTTCAGTCAACTGATTACTTGGTCAGTTGATCCATTCATATCTTGTTTGTCAGCATTCATGCATTATTTTCAACCAATCAGTTACTCATCACAGACATTCCGACTGATTAGTCAACCAATCTATCCACCAATCAGTATTTCAAACATCAATCACTTGATTGATCAATCAGTCAGCTTCTCAATTGGTCAATCTGTTGACTAATCAGTCAATAAAACAGTTATCAACTGATCAATGAATTGATAATTGGTCAGTCAGTTGACTGATCCATCAATGAAACATTTATTAATTTGATTAATGAATCTATCATTTGACTGATCAGTAATAGAACATTTATCAACTGATCATTGAATCGCTCAGTTGATCAATCTGTTGACTGATCCACCATTCAACTATTTATGAACTGATTAGTGAACCTATCAGCTGATCAATCATTTGACTGATCAGTAAAAGAACATTTATCCACTAGTCAATGAATCGATCAGTTGATAATCAGTTGACTGATCCACCATTCAAACATTTATGAACTAATTAATGCACCTCTCAATTGATCAATCATTTGACTGAACAATCAATGAAACATTTATCCACTGATCTATCAATCAATCAACTAATCAACCAATCAATCAGCACGTCAATAAGTTGTTTTACCAAATTGATGCATTCGTTTCAATCAACCAACAAAGCACACTACAGAAAAAGCATTACACACTGCCCATCTACTTAATCTTTCAACCAATCTTTCATTGTCATAATGAAATGATCCGTTAATCAAGTAGTCATCATTTACATCCACTGATCTTTCAGCAAACCATTGCTTTATTACAAACCTGCACACTGATAACGATCACCGACACACAACCCATTGTGCAAACACCAGACACTTTCAACCAATCATTCTTCAGAATCAGTGGATCAGCACATCAGTATCAGTCGCTCATTTTAATGAACAACATAGATTCCATTGTGACTCAACTACTTGTTCTTTCTGTGGAAGTTTCTAACCCAGTTCCAGCCAGTAGATAATATTGGTTGTTTCTTTAGTATCCAGCCAGTTTGCGTCAGCACGCAGTATAAATTTTGCACTTCATACCAGTCTTGTGTGGATGTAGTCTTGTGTCTGCGATAAATTCTTGTTCTACAAATACTTCCTGAGTATATTTTTTACTTTTGTTCTTTATTTTGTTGTGATGTAACTGAAAAGCAGCTGTACTTTGTTGTCTCTGCTAATGTCATTTGTCCTGTGTAAGAGATATTGTGATTGTTATGTGAAATTGGTGCCTTTTTTTTAAAGCCATGGTTCTGAGAGGTACATTGATTTTGTGTTTGGTATCAAAGTTGCCATATCTTGACCCAGTTGTAAACGGACTGCCATTTATGCAGTTACAGTGTATTTTGTGAAAACAAATCTTGAAGTGTTGTTCTGGTTGTTTTGGAGTTTCATTGTCTTGTCATGAAACTTTGTGAGTGTTTCGTTGCTTCCCTTCAGTTGAAAAGACGAGTAACATATTACAAGTATTGTCTTCTGAACCGATAGCTTGTCAAATTGAGTTCGGAAACAAGCTTTATATGGGGTTGTACCTTTTATAAATTTAATTTTCCTTTAATTTTACATTAAGTGCCTCTGAAGTGGTGCAACCTTTTTAAGAAAGTTAGTCCAGTTGTTGGCCTGGCATTTTATTTTGTGCATTTGCATTCCAGATTAATTTACTTAATTTCAGTAAACACAAAAAGCATTTGCTTAAAGGGCCATGACATCAATCTTACTTGGGAACAAATTTTGTGCAACTTTCTACTCCTCGTAAATGTGTAAAAAAAACCTATTTTTGTCATCCTTTTTAAGTTAATTTTGATGAAAAGTGCGCTTTTTTTAACATTTAAGAATTTTACATGAATTTCCTGACAAATGAGGGCGCTGTTGCTGTGATGTCATTTCAGGAAGACACTGTTCACTTTATGGTTTTCTCTGCTCAAATTGTGGACCCAAAATTTGCTCATTGAAAACATTTGTGAGAAAACTTTGCTCATTGGCTTTCTCTCAAGTACTGAAACAACAACGAATCACCAGAGAAAAGAAAATACACGACCGCAAAAAAATCCAAAATTCGGGCAAATTTTGGTGCTGAAGACATGTTACATTGAGTTTCTGCCTGAAATGACATCACACTTTTGCTCGTGAATATATGGAAATGTGCATCAGCATAAAAACCAAAAAGGCACAAAATACCCCTTAAAAATTGTAAAATGAAAATTGAAAATAAGGCCAAATGGGACACTAAGGAGCTTTTGCAAGTATTGCATTAAAAGACTTACCGGTACATTACATGTGCCCTTAAACAAAAACAGCTTTCTAGCTTAAATATTGTGTAATATTGCTTTGAACTGGTGTTTTGCTGGTTTCCCCTTAATACACGTATCTTAAATGCACCAGGCAATACTTTCTGCTTTGCAACAAGTGCTTTTGCCACGTAGAAGAGATTTTTTTTAAATTTTGTACATGTACTAAGGTTCTTTTGTTTCATTTCTTTTCATATAAATAGGCTGTGAAATGTCTGAGGGACGAAAATTGATTATTTTTGTTGCACGATTGTATGGAATATTATTTTTCTGCTTTACTTTTGTTGTTGCGATCAAAGCATGAAGCAAAAATGATGTTAGTGTTTTGCTTTTGATCAGTCGGTGTTTACTAAAGAATGAAAATATTACAAAACTTGAAGCGCTTTTAATTAGTTAGTATTGCCAGAGTGGATGGGATACAGGGAGATAATGGGATGGACTACCCCTGTGTTGAACAAAATATGTATTGAGACTCCTTTGGCATTGTTGTAGCTGCTCAGCCTATGCCTGTAGGCAATCCTTTCTAGTGCTGCCTGTTGTTTCTGACATGAACTCTACATGTCTGTATATAAAATTTGTTCACAGTGAAGGAATTCAGCTGAGAATGTATTTAAAATTTAAAATCAAAATAAAATTGTACCAAATGATATTTTCAGAACTGAAAGTGAAGGATATGTTCCTTTTCCTACATGTATAAGAAGAACGAAGATGGAGAAAAAACAAACTAAAAATAACATTTTTAATGCTAAGCTAAATTATTTTATACATTGTACCAAAAATATATATGACTTTAGAACAAACTTCAATGGAAGACCATGCCAGTATATTCATCCTTTCAACAATATTGTCAGTTTACATTTTGTACATCCTTTTTTTTCATAATGTGTAATTCATTGAATAACATTTCAGTCACCTAACTGTAATTCTCCCTTTTGTCGCCTTTGATTTCTTTCATACAGGTTATCCAGCAAACTTTGCTTTCGGACGGTCAATTCCTGCCTACCCCCCATTCACCCCGTATTTTAGTGGTAAGTGCTCGTTTTCTTGAATACCATTCAGTTTTTGTATTTCTGCCCCCTTGGCTTTCAAAATTTTCATAGCATTATTCTCCAGAGATTCCAAGATTTTCAGGAAAAAAAATGTCTTTTCTTTCAGCAGATTACCATTTTCTATTATCATTGAAATAATGTGAAACAAAAACACTCTTTTTATCATGCAAAACTTATGATATTAAATTATATTATATTTTAAATCCAAACTTGTAATTTCTAGATAATGTTCCAGCAATCCTGTTTTAAGTTTCAGGCTTGTCATTTATAAAAAAATATTTGATGTACTTTTGTTGAAATTTTTTTTTTCTGAAAGTTTTGGAATCGTGTGTATTTGGCGCCGTTGCCATGTTCCACTCATTTGCATATCTTCTGCATGACTTGTCACCCGATTGGCTCAGAGCATTTGTCAGCCTTAGTAACCATTACCATAGTAGTTGAGTAGCCAATTAGAATTCCCCTCTTGGGCTTGTAGTGTTGTAGAAAGTAGACATAGCAATTCTGTTTTGTTACGTTATGCTGTACACTAAAGACAACTTCTCTACAATTAACATTTGGATATTTTTTGTGTAAAAGTTGAACTAAAACTTCACAAAGATTACTTAAGAAAATGTAGGCTGAGTACTTAGTTTTCGGTACATCATTTTTCAAACTGTCCTTTTGGATTTGGTGATGTCTTCTAAATCATAAGTGGTACTGTTTTAAAGTAGCCCTAACTAGGGGTGTGCATTTACGTGTAGTACGAGACCGGGTACCCGATAAAAAAAAAATACGGGTACTCGGGTACCCGATAAAGAAACCCAACTCCAAAATTCAAATCTCAGAAGTTGCTGTTCTCATTGTTCATAAAGGTCTGTACGATAATGCCGTAGTATAATCGTACATCGGTGCGTCAAGATACAAGTACGTACAGTGAGCTTTATAGCTTTATGGTGTAAACTGCAACTTTCGCGAGCGTCATAAACGTGAAATATGTTTTGTTTTCCCGTGTGGCCTGGTTTTCATTTTTGAAAATTCCCCACAAATGACATTCAAAACCTTTCTTTTTGATTGTCGGTGAAGTTACTAAGTAATTTGTAAAGTTGGTTACTGGTACTTGATTCCATAATCTGGAACCGGTTCCTGACATCAACGGTCGGGTACTCTGGTACCTGGTTCCGATGCACAACCCTAGCCCTAACCATTAATACTTTGTATGAATGTGAAATACTGCATACTTTAAGTTAAGGCAGGTTGCATAAACCCTTTCAAATCACAAAACATTTGGCAAGTGCAGGCAACTGAAATTGATGTTGTTATGGCAACATGGTAGGGTAGACTTCTCGTAAAGCCACACATGCTGAAAGTGTGACTGCATGATTTGATTTCCTGAAGCAACTGTCTTGTCGATCCAATAGTCTTCACTTTATAACGTCAAACATTTTTGGTCGTTTTTTTTCCCCACTTAATTTAACATCCTAACCTGCTGAATCCAACAGGATCCAACTATATCATAATCCTGTTGAAGCAAGTATACTGAAATTTGTATTTTTGTGGAGACATTTCTTTGTTCTCGTGTACTAAAGTTTTCGAGTTTGAAAGTACAGTTTCAAAATGCTCTTATTTTAATCAGAATTAATTTCCTTGGCTGAAATTCGGACTTACTATCCCTTTTCTAAAACCATTTGTGACAGATCAACATACCTTGGAAATTCCTAGTTTTTGAGTAAAATCCATATATCTGTTTTGTGAAAACCTTGTGGAGACATTCATCTGTAGAAATTGCCCTGTGGAGACGTATACAATCTTTTGTTCCCTATTGTGTGCATGTCTCCAGAGGGCATGGTGTATCAGATCCTGTTGGTTTGAGCAGTAAACCCCTTGTACACATATTCAGAGTCGGATTCTGTTGGGTACTGATAAATAACGCCAAGTTGGACTCTGTTGGATCCAGCGGACAACTAAAAATTAGGCACAGTTGGATTCTGTTGGATTGAGCAGGAAGTAACCGTTGGACTCTGTTGGATTTCAGGGTAGTCCTGAGGAACCCTGACTTGGTGTACATTGCACTGGGGCACACTGCATCCTTTCCCCCTGAAATAAACAAAGTCTTCATCATGAAAGTCCCTTTTAAGTGGTTACTTCTTGTTAATATTATGGGATGTTGTACCTTTTAACCTGTAAGTGGAGATTTGTGTTGCGTTTGTGGTAAACATTCACAATTTTACTTTATGCCCCTTAGGTAACTTGAGCCCTTTTTTCAGTTGTGACCTTCATTGATTTGTCACATGAATGATTTTCCTCGCATGGTGTTAGAGATTTCCAGCTTTTTGAGAATTTCACTGATGCTTCAATGGAAATTGGAAAAAACGTCTGTCTGCTGTATGAGTTGAGCTTGTCCTGTAAGCCAGCGTTGGACATCTGTTTTTGTATACAATACGTTTGTTTGTAAAGGGTGGATCAAATGTGAATTTAATCATGTTATCGTGGCCTTTCTGTGTGACTGCACACTGTACATGATCGTGTCCTAAGGCCGGGGCTTGTGCTATGCCTACGAGGTACAAAAGGCTGTAAATAATGAGTTCTTCAAAATCATAATGGACTGTGAGTTTTGATTTGTTGGTTGCATTGAGGTAGAGCTGCCAACTTTCCCTGATTCTGCAGAAAGATCCCTGAATAAACCAGTCTTCCCATGTTCTGATGAAAAAAACTTTTTCCCTATTATGTTGAATGTAATTCTGAAACTCTCCCTGATTGTTGTACAAAATCTTCCTGACTGCAAGATGCAAATGTTGGCAGCTGTAATTGAGGAATGTTGACTTTGGATTTTTCCTTGTTTTTAGAGACCAGTGATTTTTTCTACTTTAAATTAACCCTAACCCACTTCAATCCTCTAAAATCTTCCTGGCGGTTTTGGAGGATTGAGAATGAATGGTGTTTGAGAAACATGAGGATTTTGAAGGATTGAGGATGAATGGTGTTTGAGAAACATGAGGATTTTGGAGGATTGAGGATGAATGGTGTTCAAGCACATGGGGATTTTAAAGGATTGAGGATGAATGGTGTTCAAGCACATGAGGATTTTGGAGGATTGAGGATGAATGGTGTTCAAGCACATGAGGATTTTAAAGGATTGAGGATGAATGATGTTCAAGCACATGAGGATTTTAAAGGATTGAGGATGAATGGTGTTCAAGCACATGAGGATTTTGGAGGATTGAGGATGAATGGTGTTCAAGCACATGAGGATTTTAAAGGATTGAGGATGAATGGTGTTCAAGCACATGAGGATTTTGGAGGATTGAGGATGAATGGTGTTCAAGCACATGGGGATTTTGGAGGATTGAGGATGAATGGTGTTGAAGCACATGAGGATTTTGGAGGATTGAGGATGAATGGTGTTTAAGCACATGAGGATTTTGGAGGATTGAGGATGAATGCATTTTGAGAGGCAGGACTGTTTGACGATATTGAAGGATTGAGGTGCTGGGTATCCTTCATTCGAACATACGTGCAACATTTTGGAGGATTGTGGCAGATTGAGGATGGTTCCTAGCAAAAAGGGCCTGGGGTAGGGTTAATAGTGGCAAATGGATAGAATAAATCTAATTCCTGTGAAATTTATACATAAATACACAGTTTTTGTTGGTTAATAGTTCATTGGCCCCTGGCCTGACCTGGCCATAGTGGTTTGTTTTGGAATGAGGAATACAGGATATTTATTTGTCAATAGTTACATCGTTTGTCATCAATTTTTATCAATGGACCATTGTTGCCAACATTGTTTCCTGGTAAAGGAACACCTGGTTAATGTGAAAAGAGTTCTGACTGTTCGTTCCAAGGCAATGGAGGGTCACTCCATGATTATTCTTTTTGGATCTGGTTTGGAAGTATTTTCACTCTGCGAGTATTCCTTACGATGAGAGTTTAGATTTCAATGCAGCTAACCATGTTTTAACCCTTACCCTACTTGACCCTCCAATGCATGCCAATTGTGCCTCAAGAAAATCTTCTATGTTTTTTGCATGGCCCTCCAATATCTGCCATGTCATTTCAAGGGTAACTGGACAGGCACTCCAATACATGCCACAGAGAACAATGAGAGTCCTCTGATAACAAAGTGAGTGCCCCCAGCTGGTCAGTATCAGGCACCCTCCAGGGCCTCCAACTCCTGCCAATTGGAGCCTTCACTGTTAAGACTTGTTATCTGCCAAATAACTGCAGCTGGAGGGCATTGGCATAACCAACTGACATGCAGTAAACTACCCTCAGAGAGTAAGGGTTAAACGTGTTGTTTGTTGTCCTGCCATTTCCTTGGCTATGTCTTGTGTGTGTTTTGTCAGTATACATTAGGCCTGGGCGGGTAGTTGATTTTTCAACTCAAGTACTCGAGAAATGCCGTACGAGTAGTCGAGTACTCATGAGTGATAGTGAATTCCTGCAACAGCAGAAAATGACATTTACATGTTATTATGATGCGAATTCTTCCAAAGTAACAGGCAAATTGCTTGCAAACAGCACATTCTGCACTGAGTCATTTCTTGACTAAGTCAATATTCCTAAAACAAAAATTGTTACTCGAGTAGATGAAAAATCACCAATAGAACGAGTAGCATAAACTACTCACGAGTACTCAAGTTACTCGCCCAGCAGTAGTATACTTGTAAATATTGGGAAATGGTAAAAGGTGAAGTTTGTTACCAGCCAATATGGCCCGTCAGTTTATCTCCGGTTTCCCTGGCCTGAAACGACTGAGATTATTTCTATTCCCCCTGGATGGGATCATGCTAGTCCATCGCAGGTTCCTCCCCAGCTAATGCCGGTACCCATTTATACTCCTGGGTGGAGAGGGGCAAGTGGGGGTGAAGTGGCTTGCCCAAGGTCACAACATATGGCCAGCAGCTGGATTCGAACCCCTGGCCCTCTGATCATAAGTCACAAACCCTAACCACTAGGCCACACTCCCCCACTGGTAATGGTGCTTCATTCCTTTGAGAAAAACGGTTCAATCAATGCAACTTGGTCGTACTTTTTTGTGGTCTACAAGTGGTGCTTTATTTTTAAATTTGAGTCTAAATTGCTTAGGAAAGTTGGAATCAAGTGGTTTTTTTTGTAAATCTAGCACAACTGTTTCTATGCTATATTCTTCGCCTACAAAGTGTGTGACTGGTTGACTATTGACTATGCAACTTTGTTCCTAGTAAAGGTTTTTCTCAGACTCACGTTTGTGGCAGGGAGTGAACGTTGTTGCATTTGCATGATTTTTGTTTTAAAATTTTGCGATTCAATGATGTGCACTCTTAATAGTGGTGATTTTTCTGAGCATGTGGATAGAAATGTGATTTTCCCGCCTCTACTAAAAAAAAATGACCAATTTAGTTCAGAAAATAAACCAAAAAAACTCTTTAAATATTGGGTGTGTTCAGTAAATATTTGGAATGTGAATTTTGTGTTTGTAAATTGTTGTGTTTGTAGACAATTTGTGTGAGTGTTTAACCCATTAGCACTTGTATTACACTGTATTACATTGTATTTAATATTTGTTAAATTGATACAGCTAGGTGGTTTGGGTTGATACAAGGATTAACAGTAACACGAAGGGCACTTTGGGGTGATACAGGAACTGTTTAAGTGATTTTGTCTGAAACTGACATCTAAATATGGACAAAATATTCCAACTGAAGATGAATGTATTTGCATTCATGCCAAACTTTTCTCAACCTTGAACCCTGTATGGTGTTATGTGCGTGCATACCACAATCCTCGTGCCTAGGGTTTGGCGGGGCCTCGCCGGCCTTTACCCCCGGACACCAGCGAGCTGGGCCAGCCGCTAGAGGGCGCTCCACCGGACGGGGCGGCTACTCAAACTACCACAATGCACCAGGTAAACAGGTTACCATGGTTACAGAAAGAAAAGAAAAACATTAAGTGTTCAGGTTGCGTGTGGTACTTCATAACAGGGTTCTCCCCTTGTCTTTGTTGCCTAGTTAAAATTGCCAGATTTTTTCCTTTTTCTTTGAAGAGTATAAGAATACATATAAAAAAACCAAGGTTATATGTTCTTGAAGATTTTGTAAACCACAATTTAGAGGTTTCTACATCATTGGAGTTTCAAAAAACATACCTCTTTTTTTTTTCAATTTTTTTGCTAGTTTTTTTGTTCAACCTTAAATTCTTTTGGGTTGAAGATCTTGTCTGGAAATGTTTCTTAGAGAGCAAGCTAAGTTACATCTGAAGGAATAGGAAACTTAGCCTTTCATGTAAAATTCCTTTCAATTAAAATAGATAAGCTCGAGACAACCTTTTCACACACAAAAAGATTACCATGCCGATTCAGTGCACATAATGACACCCGAAAACAAATCCCCGTAAGCAGAACAGTGCTTAAAAATTGAAAAAAAAAAAAAAATTGAAAAAAAAAAAAAAAAATTGAAATGAAAACAAAAAAAAATATTAAAATGGGAGGACCCTGTGGTGTCGTGTGTTCATTCCTTCACGTGGTTTGGCCTGGAATGATGTCTAACTGCACCGTGCTTTGCTTGACCAACATGTCTAATGCAGCTTCACTTTTCTCAAAACACTTGTTTATTAACTCTTAAACTTGCTGTGCTGAAACAATATAATACAAAAAAAACTTGGCTATGTGCAGAGAGACACTTGGTGGTGAAATCTCACTGAAAAATTTGCATCATTGGTTCAGTCGGTATGGGTACATTGCTTGGGTATGTGGGTGTTTTGGCCTTCAAGTTGGTGTTAAAGGATCCATGAAATGCATTATTCTTAAAAGCACATTTTGTGCTACTTTCTACTCCTCTTGAATGTATGAAAACTATTTGACATCTCTTTGTTACTTTTATTGAAAACTGCACTTCTTTAAACATTTCAAATGTTCCATGCTTTTCCAGACAACTGAGGGCGCTGTTGCTGTTATGTCATTTCAGGAAGACACTGTTCAGTTTAGGGGTTTTCTGTTCAAATTGTGAAGCCAAAAACTTGCTCATTGAAAACATTTGTGAGAAAAGCTTTCTCATTGGCTTACTGCCATGTACTGACGCTACAACGAATCACTCAAAAAAGAAAATGCACGACAACAAAATATCCCAAATTCTGCCAACTTTTGGTGCTGTAATAGCCGTAACCTAGAGGTTTCTGCCTGAAATGACATCGCACTTTTGCTCATGAATATGGAAATTTGCATTAATAGCATCAAAACCAAAAAGGCACCAAAATACCCTTGAAAATTAAAAAAATGGTTAAATGGGACACAAAGGTGCATTTTCTAAGATCGCATTAAAATTTTTTTTTTACGTTGAATGGGCCCTTTAATGTTTTTGTGTGAAACTTCTGCTAGACCTTGATATTGACCAAAAAAGATGATAAAACTGATGTCTTAATTTGTGATCAATTTGTATACAGTAATTTGATTTGATGCGTTGACGGTTTGGAAGAATTGAAAGATGGAAAATTATCTTGTCTAGGCTGTTTTGTAAATCACTGAATCTAATTAACTGTGCATGAAAGTTTCACAGCATACTTTCAAATTTTGTTGAATTTCTGCCAACTTTCTTAAAAATAATAAGCGCTGCTTTTCTTCACAACTAGTATCTCTAGTTGCCACAAAAAAGAGGGTTTTTTTGGTGATCAGTTTATTTCTCTGATATCTAACAGATATGAGTGTTATTTATGTATGCATGGTAATTATGGGTTGACTAGGCTTTCATTCCTCGCTAATTGGCATATTCATCATCCATGGCGTGGCTTTGCTGAACTCGGGCACTGTGGTTGGTTAGAACATTGAGAGGCGTGTCCATATGGTTCATCAATATTCATTGGTTGGGAATGAGGCAGTTTGATTGGACGAATGTCTTCCAGTTGGTCTGAAGTTCTTGTTTTGGGTATTCATGAATATTCATGACTGTGTGACTAGGCAGTCTGTATACAGGCACTTTGATGATTGGTTGAAATTTTGCCTGCGGGATCATGGGTCTCATTTGCTTAATTCATATTTAATCTCATTTTGGTTGGTGTTGTTTTGAAATATGTACATGGTATTTATAAAAGTTGTATAGCTAACAGTTTTTTAAAAGATTCATTAAAGTGACAGTACATATTAGAATATGAATTACAAAAATAATGACTTTAAATTTCAAAAATCAATTCTGAGGAAATATTGTGTAGGCAAACTCGTCATGAGATTTGGCTCCAAGTAAATCAATTCAAATTTAAATTGGCAGTTTGAAGAACAAGTCGTGAACACAAGGCAGCTTTAGTTGTCGTCATGTACTTATTTGTATATTTATTTGGTACTTTTGAAGTTTCAGTTTGAGAAACTGTCATATTGTATTGCTTTAGTTGTCGTATTACACTGAAGCTTCTAAAATAGATTTGTTTTGTTTTAGGCTTTATATTATCTGAAGGTTTCCTTTGATTTTTACATTTTATATTGACAGGGCCAAAAGTATTTGGCCAAAGAAAAATATACTTAGTCACCCGTGGCCTGTTTGTGGCATTGAATTAGAATTATTAGAATTTTAATTTTGGTGTACAAATGTGTTTTGTTGTAAATGAAAATTGTCCAGCACAGTTGTATACACTGTATATCAATGTAATCTTCATTCTTGTGTTGCTTTGTTAAGTTGAAAGAGATTTTGCTTAATTTGCTCTTCATACACATGGCAAGGTTGCTTACATTAACCCATTTTTTTCTGAGTCGAGTCAGAAAAGTTCAAGGTGTTTTATTGTAACATTGCAGATTTTTTTAGTCGTTAAGTGTAGAAAGCGTGTTAACTTAATTTCGTACATGTATTATATATGCTGAATTTGGTCCTCATTTATCACAAGTGAAACAATTGTCAATTATTTGCGTTGGACCTATTCATTCAACAGATGCCAATTTTCCCCAGAGTATGTGGAATTTGATAAAGAAATTATTTTTATTCATAGTCGGTTACCGGAAGGAGGATTGAAATCTCACTTTTCAACTTGTTTTTGTACGGTACTTACACTATACTGCAGTTAATCGATATATCTACAACATGTAATACATTTTGCTAGTGATGCTCCAAGAGAATCCTTTATCAGTATCGCCAAGAAAACTGAACAACTCCTTTGAGCTTGTTGACAAAAAGTCTAGAATTTTCTCACTAGGCTCCGATGATGTTGTAATTTCTTGTTGAGGACATATAAAGTTGGTAGCTTATCTGTGTGATAGTCATGTACGCACATCTACGCCATCAGGGCTTCTTTAAAAAAAAAAACAATCGTAATTTTGTGTTTTTGTCATGCATGCCGCCAATCTGAAGTCAGAAAGTTGTCATACAACTGAGCTGTATGTATTCATTGTGCTTTGTAAAAAAAATGGAAGGAAAACAAAGCGTCCCCTCTAAATTGTGTATCTGAAAAAAAAAAAGATGTGATAAACAAAACCTGTCCATTGTGACCCGTATACCAATTCACAGAAAACGCCCTGAGCAATGAACAGCTGACCTACCTGAAGACGACAGGACTTGACAAGTCTGTCTGTATCGCCTCTCCAGGCTTGCACGCCTACCCGGGCGGCTACGCGGTCATGCCCCACCACGGACTGCAGCCAGCCGTGGACCAGCGCCGGCCCGGCAGCTACATTCCGTACTCGTACCCGGACTACGGCTCGGCAGGGCCCGCGACTACGCTCCGGGCGGCCAACGCGCATAACCGGACGGACGGCGGCTCGGCGGTGACCCAGCACCAGCAGGCCGAATACAACAGGGAATATCACCAGGCAGCTGGTAATGTTGCTTCTACTACCTCAACTAGACTGAGATGACGCGTACTGAACATGCCACCCTCGTATGAAACGCATACCGTCACAAACACACACACACACACGTTTGTGTTACATGCTCTATGTGGACATTCCTTTGTTTTCGTGTTGTTAAGAAAACTCAGTACAAAAAATAATCTTAAACTGTGAAAACTCTTTCAACCCCAAATTTGTTTTTTGATTTCCTTGAATGTTTCTCTTCATTCTGCGACTGATAACCCAAACCCCAAAATGCCTCTAAACCTGTTTTCCAGAGAGGGCGAAACGTTATGTGGACATGGTGTAGTCCACATAACGTCAACACAACCTGCATTATGTGGACATCGTTTGTTCACATGTCCACATAGTGACTAAGACAAACTCACTCATACACAACTATTTTCGTTTCTCTACCTGTACATGTGATTTTTGGTCATCCTTGTTTTGTTGAATTGGAAAACTCTTTTGCAAAACCTTTGAAACTTTTAGGGCGATTTTTTTTTTATTGCCCCTACCAAATACCTTGAATAATTTACTCCATTTTCGACCTTAATCATGCTTTCAAAATGACATACATCAATCGTTTTAGAAAAACCTAGTTCCCATGTCATAAAATCCTTGTGTGAATTGTTAGTGCGTCTACACATATACACAAATGCATACATAAAACTTGCATGTACAAACACTTGATGAACATTGGTGCATTTTTAGCAGTCAGTGTAGCTAATCCAAAGTATTTTTAGGTTCACTTTCATAATCTTAAAAAAACCCAGGCTTTTTATGTAACTCCCAGGCTTCCTAGCGTTAGTTGAATTAACACAATCAAAGAAAACAGTACGGTACATTCGCTGTGCACTTTGTGTGTTTTTGTTGGGTCTTTCAAGTGAGGATGTTACATCCATGCATAAAATTGATCAATTCCGTCCGGGAAATAGCAAAATACTTATACCAAAGATTTTTACAAACGTCTGGGTTGAAATGCCTTTAAGTGACACGAGTCTAGCTGTTAGTACTTATGGAATGACTTTACTTGCAAAGCCCGCTCCATTAACAACTTCGTTTTTGTATAAACCTTGCATGGATTTAGCATTCCTGCTTGATCAAGTTTGTCGTCCGCAACTCTTCTTATTTTTAGTCCTAACATGTAGTGCGTGTGTGTAGTGTGCGTGTGTGTTGTTTCCTTCTTTAATGATAGATCATTCAAATAGAAAGTAGTATGCTGACAAAACCTCATCCTTCATAATGCCAAGTGTGACCAATTTTGTTTATTCATTTTTTTTCTCAATTTTTGTTATGAATTATATTTTTTTAAAGAAAGCCTGTGGTATGCCGCTTTGGAAAGGATTCCAAAGATTTATCAATCTTTGGTCATAAAAGCTTTTTGGAATTATAATCAAATAATGGCAATTATACAGCTCCATCCCTTTTTCTTGTACAAAAAAATTATGCCGGTATATCACAGGTTGTTCTTCTAAAGCCCGGTTAATACTTCACGCGAAAGCGAAATTTGTAACATCAACAATACGTTTGAAGCGCGTCCACCATTGTTGACGACATGAATTTCGCTTCGCACTTACTTTCGCGTGAAGTATGAATCGGGCTTTACGCAGATTCCTTTCTGCATTCACAAAATCAAAGAAGGCGTGAAACAAAACAACAGCCAACAAAAACTATCAAAGTTTAGTTAAGCGCCACTCGGTTTCCTGAAAAAAAATTGTGTTTTTATTGTGGTGCTGGTGTACTCCAGACTTCAAATTATTATTTTTTGGGGGTAACATGTTGAATTGTATTTATTTATGACTGTCTTTATTTGACAACCTTGCCATTTTGCAGTGATGAACTCCCCCTACGCTCAGCAAGGTTATGCCCCTTCCCCCTCGCCAGTCAACAGCCGTAGCGGTTTCAACGTTAACAGCAGCCCGGGGCCCATGGACTTGTATGCCGTCTCCACGACTCAGGCCGACCAGAATGCCATGACCAGCAACTTTGTGCCGGCGGTCAGCCCGCAGCCAAACAGCTACGGAATGGGCCAGGTAATTCAAAGAGCCACTTTAGAAATGGTTCCAAGATAGAGCAGGATGAGTCAAAAGAATTAAAGAGGGAAAAAACTGGTGAATGTGTCCCTTTTTACAAAAAAGATGGACACTTTTCCTTCTATAGGTGAAAAGTGGATGAAGTTGCCCTGCCAGATACCAGTGCAAGGAACTTTTTCTAATAACAATAATAATAACGTGGTGCATATATAGCGTTTTGTACCAAAGATCTCGAAGCGCTTCACAATTATTATCCCTGTTCATCAGGCCATGAGACCAGTTTTTGCAGCAGCTCGAGATCAGCGCATTCTAGTCTCTACCTTCAGAGGTACCCATTTATACTCTTGGTCGGAGAGAGGCAATTGTAGTAAAGTGTCTTGCCCAAGAACACAAGCACCATGTTCCCCGTCAGGGTGCGAACCCACGTACCATGGCATACGAGTCAAACACCATAACTATTGGACCACAGCGCTCCAATTTAAATTTTATTTGTAGAAATGTTACTTGAGGCACCTCAAATTATTTTTTTGTTTTTGTTTTAAAACAAGATATTCTTTAGAATAGGTTTAGTAGAATGAAATACAACGATTTTCCCCTCCAAAACTGAACACTACTGTAGGATTCTCATCTTTACAACAAAAAAGTTTTAAAAAGAAACACAAAAATCACCCCTAATAAAGTTGTTTACGATGTAATTTTTTTAGTGTTAAAATCAGATATTCACAAGGGTGGGATGATTCCAAACCTAAAGAAATTGTTGGAAAATAAAAAAAGACATGGAGGGACTGATGAGATGTCTACTCTTTCTCTCTTTCTCGCTCCCCGTAATTCCCCCTTTTTGCAATGTTCATGCCCGGTCCTCGCATCCCAATTCTAGAAGGTAATGTCATCTTCATTCTACGTATATTTGGTTTTTTCCCCCTCCCAACTTCAACTCTTTTTTTTTTCTTTTAACGGCTGGCAAGTGTTGTGAACTAGAATTCTGTTGAAATGTTTATACACATATTGATATATATTGTAACCACATCTTAGACTAGCATAATCCATATTTACCTAATCGCCGTCTTTTTTACCTTTTTTTTGTTGTTTTCATGTTATTTACGCCATATTTTTGTGGTCGTCTTCTTACGCACTCATTGTAGTGTTTAGATGGCTTGCACTGCACTAACCATGTTTGCTTTTATCTCAAAGACCAAAAGAATTTAAAGGCCTATTTACCAGAAATACCTCCCCAAAACAACCAAAAGAAAAAAACTTTAACCAAACAGGATCTGTGCAGATGCTTTGGAGTTGTCGTGTTAATATATAACGACTTCTGCCACGACCGCCATTTTGGATTCTATTAATAGCTTGTTTAATCGCAGCCATTTTGTTAGAAGCAAACTAGAAATGGTTGCAGTGTGTACTTTTGCAGTGCATGTGGTATGACGTCATGGTAACGATGGAGGTGTTTTTTTGTGGTTGGATCATTGTTTACAGATTATCACAAGTGTGTATTTTCTCTCCTCTTTCCCCTTCATTTTGGTGGGCTCTTAAAAATATTTATCCCGGCTCTCATTGTGGCTTGGTTTAAGGACTGTATCGTGGTGCAAGTGTGATAAAAACTTCACAACATCATGAACCTCCTGCTATGAGAATAGTCACAGAAATTTTTTTAAAAAATCAATCCTCTTCCCTGCCATGCGTTTTACACTGGCTAGTCACCAACGGTCAGATCATATTTCAAGCAAGCACTGTGACTAGTCAAATTCAGTCAACAGACAAAAGCAGGCAAGTGGTTGGCACAACTGGCTTATCAATCACCTACAGGCAAAGCAAAGCTGTATCAAGTTACATGAACAGTCACAGCCAGTCAATCCTGCTTTATGTAGGCTGGGAACTCTTGGATGCTAAAAGCAGTCACTTGATTGAATTTGACTGAAAGGACAACTTTGCACAGAATGTATGTTTGCATAGGAGGGTTAATGCCCAAAATATGAAATCAGACATTATTCCTTCATTTCCATTATTTGTATCACCGAAAATATATCTGCTGGAATAAATTTTTTGGGAAGCCAGAAATTAAGATGAGCTAGCAAAGAGTAAAATGTTCGTATTTGAACAATTAAAAAAAAAATCCAAAAACCCAAAAGAAAAGAAAAATATTATATCTCAAGGGGCTATCTTCCTGGAAAAGATTATTAAAGTTGTGAAGACAAAAAGGGGGATAGAAAGAATTTAATACTACATTGAATGAAATTGTCTGAACTGTGTTCAAAGTTAACTGAGGTTTCTGTAGGGTTTACTTGTTTTGTTCAATTTTGTCCCCCAACCACAATACACGGCTAGCCCAAAGGGAAAGAGGATGACAGTGGTTGCCATGGAAACTATCTAGCCAATCACTATCTACAATGGGCCGCAGTGTTAATTTTTAAAAAATTTGATATTCTGTCTCTTTTATTACCACCCTTGAATTTTTGAAATTTCATCCCAATTTTGTTTTTGTAATTTCCCCTCTTGCCCACTGCAAAGAAACCAAAATCAAACGGATTGATTTGTTGACCATCATGTTGTTGTTCCCATTTGTTCCATTCCCCCTCCTCCAGGCACTGATTGCGCCCAACTTCCCTAATGTCAATGGTTATACTATGCAATGAGCTAGCCGATTGATTGAATGAATGCACCACCTCTCAGGTATACTTTCCACTATACATTTCTCCAGGTCTACGACCTTTCACCTTTTTATGTGTGCTTTGTAAATATGGCCTGAATGTTGACCTTTCTGCTTGTGTTGCTGCGAATTTTTTTTTTATACTGCTATGACCGTGGCTGTACCAATATGCAACCTGATCTTGTTCATGTGAATGTTTCATTGTGACCCTGTAGCCTGCATAGCCATAACCGCTCTTGTTCAGACCTTCAACCTTTTTACAAAATGACCTCTGTGACCTCCCTCTGTGACCTCCCTCCGTGACCTCCCTCCGTGATCTCTGTCCATGACCTCCCTCCGTGACCTCTCTGTGACCTCCCTCTGACCGCCATCTGTGACCTCCCTCCGAGACCTCCCTCTGTGACCTCCCTCTGTGACTGATCTCTGTGACTGACCTCTGTGACTGACCTCCGTGACCTCCCTCTGTGACCTCCCTCTGTGACCTCCCTGTGTGACCTCTGTATTACTTCTCTGTGCTACCTCTCTGTGACCTTTTTATACTGCCATGGTATCTCATTTGTTCATTTTTGTGATGTGCTTGCATTAAAGGGAATATACAACATTTGCAAACATCGAAAAACAAAACTACCAAGTTTTTACGAAATACCTTACTAGGATGTCGGTAAATGACAGTCTAAAGCATCCTGTAAAATTATGGCACCTGGTGTAAAGTCATTTTGGTAATTTTGTATACATTTCTAACGGTGGTCGGCCGACCACCGTTGGGAAAACCTAACTATTTCATTTACTGCTCCAAATTTACAATTTTTTTCAGTCAAAATGTTGTTTGCTATTGGTTACATGTTCATGAATGGGTGCAGGCCAGCTAGACTGGTTCCCTTACCTTACAATTTTCCGGCATCTATAAATTGATCCATTTTATCTTTACTGGAGTCAGGGAACCAGACTCCTTGAGCATTTTTGTTTTTCTTGGTTTTTCCAGCATTTTCGAACACAAAACTTCAAATAACATGTCAGTGTAACAATATTTGATATGTTATACTAACCTCTCAAGTAGTTTATTTCTGAAAATTACATCAAAAGCCAATGATGTACATTCCCTTTAAGAAAAAATCACAAATGTCTCAGTTCCCCTCAAATTTCTGTACCAATTGTATGTCTTTTTTAGCCTGCAACTTTGCATCAATCCAGTGACTGTCACTTAAAATGTATAATCTTACTGTTGATGTCGTATTTGATTGTCGTTTTTGTGCTTTTCAGGCTCTGACTTTGTATTTAAACCGTCTGTGACCTTTGACCCTGTCTTTTCTACTCCCTTTCTGCTTTCCAGTTGCATGTACATCGTCAACAAGTTGTTTCCATGTTCTTGCTTGTATAAACACTGTGGCACTTTTTTTTTTTTTTTTTACCTTTTGACCAATCCTTACACCCAATAGCAGCTTCCAACACGCTTCCCTTTGTCAGTTGTGCACACTCCAAAGCGCCAAACTCAGTTTCATTTAATAATAGTAAATTCGGGCGTTTCACAATGCAGTGCGCCACCAAGAGTTTGCCACAGAGAGTTCATTTTTCCCAGTGCATTGTGGGAGATGGTCGACAAATTCGCAGTGCAGGAGATTTGAAATTGTTAGTTTATCCAGTCAGTGGTTTCGTAAGCGTATGATTCGAGGATCTGTTTGCCCATTTCTTTTCTTGTTATCAATATGGTGTTTTTTGTAAGGCCGCAGAATGTTTTGCCCCAATCTATGACATATTAGCTCAAGTTGTCTACCGACACTCATTCAAATGAGCCATGTTTTGTCGACCGTAAACTTGAAAAATGGACTCTCCGTTGCAAACTCTTGGTGGCGCACTGCATTGTGAATCGCCTGAATTGGAGCTTAGTGGTTGAACTGATAGAAGACCACACTTTTTCTATTAAACATGGTGGCCCTTAAAAAACACGGAACGGCATACTTTCACTATCCTGAGTCTCAAACAACCTATACCAATGCATGGGAAATTCTGTTAAAAGAAAAATGATACCAAGATCGCCCGATTCGGTCCAGTATTTTTTGTCTAGAGCCTATTTTGTGAAACAAAGTTTGGAGCCATTTTGTCCCGATGAATTACTAAACCGCACCTGCGAATTTTACTTAATTGGATAGAGGGATTAATTGTCATGTAATAATACCCACATGAAAGATGTGTGCTTCACAAAATAGGCTCTGCAGCAAAAACTACTGGACCGAATCACAATATTTTGTTATCATAATTCTTCTAAAAAGATTCTCCATCCATTGGTACAGGTTTTAGTCTCAAGGTAGTGGAAGTACGCCATTATGTTTTTTTGGTTTTTTGGTCACCCTTTACTTTTTTTTGCTTATTGCATTTGCATGCTTCTTTTTTCATCATTAACTACATGAATGTAATTTCCTTTCTCCAAGTGAAAATTTTTTGGGGGGGGGAGCTTTTAAACAACATTCTAAGGTTTAAATTCAGCTTGTTTCATACATTTCCTTACTTGCAAAACTCACTTGAAACACAAATTTTGAATAACATTTTTCTGCATGCAAACACTGAATGTTGCTCACGCCCGTTTTGGCATAATACCACTTTTGTGTCATAAAACCAGTTCTCTGCACACTGAATAATTCTGAAGCAAACACTTAAAACAGGTGTTACTTTCACATCTGAACTGGTGTTTGTTTCAACACTGGTTCCAATGGTATCGGTGTAATACAACCATTTCTATGGTGTTGATTTATAATTTGGGTGTGTATACTGTTGGTGCACCAGTAAAACACAAGTGCCCGTCACCTTTTAGCTCTTTGCACAAATCTGCCTCACAAGACCATAAAGCAAGGCCACATCTAGAAAAAATAACCAAAAAAACCCAAAACATTTTGACATTGCTGAGTTAAATCTATTAACCCTAACCCCTAGGCCACTTTTTGGCTAGGATGCATCCTCAATCCTGCACAATCCTCCAATTGCCACCATGTAAAAATTGGATTCAGCGTCAGTCCTCCAAAATCATCTGTTATTTCTTGAATCTGTTCAGTGGAGGGGTGACCACTGCCTCAATCCTTCAAAATCCTTAAAAAATCACTGTTAATGGGTTGAGGCAGTGCCAATGACATTCAGAAGCAGTGTGGATGATATCAAGCATAATGCAGGGCTCAATTATGCATGGCTAAACACAAACAATGCTGAGTACAGCCTCCGAACTTGACACAATGCATCCTCCAAAATCAACTGACAAAAGTTGTCCAAAACCAAGCAACTTGGGATGGACTTATGTGATGGACTCAGTCACAAGACTACCAGATTATATTATACACAAGACTGTGACAGCCAGTTTAGCATTCCATGAAAATTTGAAAGCTTGACATATCTTTGAGAATGACAATTTTCTTCGATTTTTTAAATTTTTTTAAATTTTTTTATTTTTTTAATTACCACTGCATGCCGTGAACAAACTGTCATAGGATTTTTAAGCTCTAGCAGCTTCTACATGTCACTTTGTGGTTGGTCGGTCAGTCTGACCCAGGAAACTTGACCAAAAACAAGTCCCTAAGTTTCCCATAAAATACCAAATTTTAATTTTCACAAAAAAAGAAAACAAAATAAATGAAATACCAGTACTTCACAAACATTGTTTTATATGAAAATTTTGTCAATGGAGGCAAGATATGTGCAGTAATATAGTCACGTGGTATACAGCGTACCATAATTCTGCGTGAAAAAGCACGCAATATTTTATGAGACTTACGGGGCTTATTTTTCTATTTTCGGAGGCAGACTAGGGCAGCCCGATTTTCGTGGGATTTTCATGGGAGGCTTCGAGGGCGCATGGGATAGTGCGTGGGATGCCGCGGCCCGGGCTTGTACGCACATTCTCCGGTCAACGTTATAGACTTTCATGGAAGACGGCCAGAGCTTATTGTGCACTCGCACTTGTTCCCTCATGTATTTATCAACAAAATTACCAATATTGAAAAAAGTTACAATGACATGTATCCATATAAACTCTTGAGTATGCAACTTTTTTTATACTTTTTCTTCTGCAGACGTACGGTGGCACCAGTCAGACTTACAATCCCCTTGTCCACGGCCGGAACTTCTAGAAAGAAAAAAAAAAAAGATACGTTATTTTTGCGGGAACGGAAAGAATCAAGCATCACGATTGCCAACAGGGTTACAAAGGCAAGGGTTTATAGATTCGACGCAGATCAACACTTCAAGAAAGTCCTGCGCTTTTTTAATTAAGAAAATATTTTGTTTTGTATAAATTCCCAGGAATGAACTTATTTAAATTGACCTACAAGCAACCTTTGTGTGCTCGTGTGTCTGCGTGTGTGAAAAAAAATCATGTACACCGGCAATCAAATTGGTTCAGGGGGAACAAAATGAAACCTTTTATGATCATGTGCAGAAGAGATACAAAACTTGCAACCAAATTTGCATTTATAATCATGTTCTGCGCACTTTATTTGAGATTTTCTCCCTTGGTTTTTTTTTATTGTTATTTTTTTTTTTTACAAACAAAGCATGTTTGCGTGCCCGCAAGGTTGTTTATTTAATATTTATGGCAGTGGCTGTTGACCAAAGTTGATGGGGGAAAAAATGGCTTTTTGGGGTGGAAAATAAGGAAGGGTAGGAGGGGGAACAGTTTGATAGTGGAAGCCTTTTCGGCTAAATGGGAAAAGGGCGAGCAGTAAAGTTTTAAAAATTAAATTAAAAAAAAATAAACATTGTGTGGTTATTTAAGTGGTAAAAAAAAAAAACAGTGCAAGTTGATGGTACGGCCATTTTTTATGAGTTTGTGTGATAATGGTTCAAAGATATTCGCGAATTATTGTGTCATTTTTGATCTTTAAGAAAGTTTAAAGTAAAAAAAAAACTTAAAGGACTTTTTGCTCTATTATTAATTGTAGCTTGCGATGAAGATATCTAACTGTCTGAGTTATTGAAAGTGAAAAAAAAAGTAGTCTGTAGTGTTGGTTAGCATCGTAGTCGGAGTAATGGTAGTTTTGCAGTGAATATGGGTGTAGTGGTTTTTGTGTAGGTTTTGAAGTACTGCTAGTGAAAAATCCCGTAGCTGAACACAATAATGTACCAACACTCTAAAATGTGTGGGCAGTTTCTCTATTCCGTGGTTGTTTTTTTTAAGTTTCACCTTTTTAAGTTTTAATTTGATTATTGTTTATATAATATTATTATGAAGTAAGTTTTAAAAATACATCTTGTAAAGGTATTAATGCCAGAGTGCCAATGATGTCAACGGTGTATCCCAAAGATAATTAACAAAAAAGTAATTGATAATTAATTGATGCGATTTTCTGTCATGTTTTAACTTAAGCTGGTTTATTATAAGTAAACTGCAACAAGTAGTGGTTACGCTATTAAGCTTTTCACTTTTTATTTTCTCAAAACGGGGAACTCAGTTCAGAGATTCAGCAACTCGTAGGGCCATTTTTTTTAGCAGTAATATAGGGAATTGTAAGTAATTATGTTTTACTCATTTTCTATTTTGTTTTGGAACAAGTTTCTATACTTTCTAGGTTTGCGTAGGTTATTAGAAATCTGCAAGGTTTTATTTCTGTGTGTGTTTTTAATTCTTGGGTATGTGCCAAATATTTTGCTCTATTCATGGGGCATTCGATGCAGCCTTGTGTGTCATCTTAAAAGACTGGGTTTGTTTTCTGTCTCAATCTGAGGCAAAGGGAATGGATGTTGCTCTGAAATACCCCTAAATGTCAAGCTTGAATCATACTGATTTGGGCACGGGCCTTCTAAATGCTAATAGCGGACTGCCAAAAAAAACTACTCAGTTGCAGTAGTTGCACTCAAAATTATTCACTCTGTTTGCTGAACACATAGTTCTCCGGGAAATGCTACGCATAGTTGATTTTTCTCGATATCATGGAAAGTTTTCCAATGTCTGCAGTTGGGGACCACACTCCAAAGTTTTTGCTGTCCATGTCAAAATGGAGTGAGCATGTTTTGGATTCTGATGGATATCTGCAACCAATGCAAAGGGATATGTCTAATCAATTGTTACCAGACAATTGTAGAGTTTTTTACTGGATATTTGTCCTCTGAATTCAGCTTTGTCCCAAATGCGTTGGGTCTTAATATGATATTGAAGATTTCATAAGAAGCGAGGAGGGAAAAAAGGGGGAAAGACATGTACATATTTCGGAGAAACTTTTGAATATCATGTGTTGTACAAGGTAGAACTTCACTGGAAAAACATCAGTACATGTATTTTTTGTTTTTAAGGTGAGAACATTTTGCGTAGTAATCGCCCAACTCCTGTATTGAAACAAGCAAAAATTACTGCCATAATGCTTTTTCATCAAAAAAAAGAGAAACTTTTTATTTTGTAAAGTCCCTGTACAGTAACAACCTAAAGAAATTTTTTCTTATAGCAATACTGGAGAATATTTCAGACAAGATTTAATTGCCAATTATTTTTTTTCTTCTTCGATGTGTTTACATATTTCTTTAAATGTTCTGCAAATTTTGCCTTCTGTTTCTTTTCGGACTTGTTTTTGGGCCCAGTTATGGCTGTGTTGTTTTGTGTGTATCTGGCATCTATGCATAGCATTTCATTTGTGCTGTTTTCCAAAATTTCTGTAAAGTTTAGACTTACATGAATTTTTCAACCAATTTGCAAGTTTTGGATCATCAAACGACCCCCATCATGAAAGCTAGTTACTTAGACTTAGTTTTCTATGGATTCTGCCAAATTTGGGGCATGACAAACCACCTGATTTATGTGGATAATCATTAATGTGGACCAAGAAATTGTCTGTGTTCCATTTTCGTTATTCCCTTAGGCTAACAAGTATGTTACATATCCTCTTGCGCATACAAAAAAGAAAAAAAAAGATGTACCATATTCACATTTATTGCTTGACAAAGAATGACAAGATCCTGAATCAAATTGTCGAAACTTGCTTTTCGATGACCACTTTTTAACAATATGCAGTTGTGTATACAAATTGGTTTTATAAACTCAATGAGTCGCCCCTAGTAGTCAGTGTATCGTGTAGTCCTGTTTCGTCCTCACAGTAAAATAATGTAGCTTTTCCAGTAGATGCGTCAATATTTGTGTGTGCGTGTGCGTGTGTGTATCCATGTACAAAAAAATCTCACTCTACCTCTGTCGATATATCATAAAGGAATGAATATCATAAAAAAAATTGAATGAATATAAGAAAGAAGAAAATGTTGGTGTTTAAAATCTTGTACAGTACATCACGTCGTCGTGGCAAGTTCAGGATATTGTTGCCAAAATGTAGATCCCATTTTAATTTATCGGGATTTTTTTTCGGGGGGGGGGGTGTAATCTTAAGGCCCATCTAAGATGTCATTCAGTTAAGAAATTATTAATTCTGCTTGGAATTTTCCCCCAACATAAAAAGGATGCTGAAAGAATTTTTTTTTTTTGGGGGGGGGGGGTTTAAGAAATGCACTGCATGGTTATCATGGCTGTCTTTAATGTGCTTGCCTTATTAATCAAGTTTTGGGTCAATGACATTTGTGGGCATCTGATGTTGATCTAAACAATTATGAAGACAGAAATTTGCTGGATCTTGGAGCGTATGCTTTGTGTCAACTTTTTATTCAAAACAAAGCGTGTCAGACTTAGGATTTCCACATGAAATCCTATTTCTGTAGCAAAGTGTTTGTTGTGTTGTACCTTCTAAGGACATCCTTTTGCTCACTTAACAACGCATGGAGAATTTCTGGATAAAATTTTAAACCATTTGAGGCATATGCTGTGGTACTGCAGCTTCAGATAGGACTGACCCAATAAAATGAAATCTTTTTTTCAAAAAAAATTAAAAATCTAACAAAATGTTGCACTTGCTTGTCTGCTCCATATTGGAAAGGCAAAGAAAAAATGCAAAGACAATGAATTTGAAATGTTATGATACAATCATTAAAAAAAACAGTTGTGTGGCCTAAAATGTGTTTTAACAAAACTGCAGTGTAATTAAGAAATTGGACAACAGTACAAAAAAGCATTTGTGTAAAAGGAGTTAGTGTAGCGGCGCGCTGTTTTCTTCTTTTTTGCTTTTCGGGTCCATGGTATATCGGTATGTAATGCTCCTGTGTATAAATATTATAAACAAAAAAAGTATCCGCTGTTGTACTGCAATTAAGGATTCTAATAGTAGTGTCTATTGGTAGATTTGTCGAGAAAAAAAAAACAACATCATTCAGGGAATTCTATATGGATGCATTGTAATGCTATTTTTCCATTTCTGCATGTAAATGCTTTAAAAATATGTCAATACACTGAAGTAACTTTTTGTAAAGGAATTTGTTCCCTTCCATGTTTTGATTTTATCTATAATATTAATAATTGATTGTAATTCTAGTTTCTGGGAATGGTTGATATATTTTTTAGCATTTTTTAGGATATTCAAAACTCGTAGTGGTGTGTAATGTAGTGGTTTTTTGAGAGCACTCGTAGATTGTAGAAGTAATGTTAAAATCTGTCAGATGTCTTATGTAGAAGTTAGAATGAAATTTTCAAACAAATCATGTGTACAGTCAATTTTGCTTTTGAATAATTAATAGTAATAACAAAAATGGAATGGTTAACAACTCCAGTGATCATGAATATGTAAATTCCAGGTGGACCAATCCAGATGTATAGCACTCAGTGTGGGTGTGTCCTCATTGGATGTAACCAATCAGCAGCTGCTCTTGAACCAATGAGAATAAGGGTATGAAATATGCTAATTGTAACATGATTCAACCAGACAGCTGGATTGGATGCCCAGGATTTACCTGCAATTGATCACACTTATAAGTAATTGAGAAAGAAACAACTCTGGAAGTTTTTACGGTTTCCTTCTTCGCTGTTCGGTTGGGTGGGCATTTTTATCTTTAACCTGATTGATCTTGTGTGTGAATTCTACAGTACCATTTAAGCAAAAGAAAGGGAGATAGAAGAAGAAAATGAATGAATCTTTTGCAGATTTTTTTGTCATATCACCATCTGTAAAATATCTTTTACGATTAAGTAGACACCTTTAATTGAAACAGTGGACAGTTGGGAACGGTGTGCTTCCAGAATTGTTGAGAAAAAAAAACAAGGGGGGAGGGAGAAGTAAAAAAAAAAATGTAAAAAAGGGAAAGTGGGATACTTCAATCACAATTTCTCTGATTCATGCTACCTTAATATCTCACCCTCTCCAGACACAAGTTAAAAAAAAAAAAACCAAATTACGTGACGGGTCAACATTTTTTACGGAAATTTATGAAAAGTGTAGCTGACTAGATTTCAGAAGTAGATCTTTGAAACAAAAAGATTGCAGAAGAATCAGAAGATTTAAAAAATGCTAATATGTGAAAAAAAATCATTTCAAAATTGTTGTTTTTAATATGAAAAAAAATGTTGAAATGGATAATAAATTAATTTTATCTATACCTGTACATATACATTAAATACAAACCATACGTTTTTACCACTGTACATGCCGCAAGCTGTTAATGTGCTGCATGCGGAATGTTGCAGAACGGCATTAAAACAAAGAAGAAAAAGAATTATTTTTTAATACAAGAAGAGTTGTGGGGGAGTTACACGAGGCGTAGATTCTTGTAGATTCAGAGTAATTCCAATCAGGGGTCAATTCCAGCCAGCTGCTAAGCAGATGGATTCACTAAGCGAAGGGTTTCCTGCTTATGGTTACCAGCTGAAATGTAGTACACAGAGTGTTGTTTGGCTGGTTGTAGTGTGGTAACCTCAAAATACTGCTTAAGCACATTCTGAAATCTGCTAAGCAGCTCCTCGGGATTGACCCAACAGATCATAGTGATTCTTAAGGTAGCTTGATTCAAGGTCAGGTCGGAGGGTAAAGGTCAAATGGATGCCTTCACAGAGTAGTTTTACTGTGGAACATATAACTGTTTATAACTGTATAAAATTCATGGATTTTGTTTTTGCAGGATTTTGTTTTTGCATTTCCTCAAGTAAATTATTCTCTGTCTAAATTAAGTTCTAAGCTTGTCTGTGAGTTTTTTATGGGGCATTTAATGCCTCGGTGTGTATGAATTAAGGAACATGTGATTTGCATAGTCATGCGACCTTTATGGAACACATAATGTCGGTATTGGCTGGTTAAAAAAGCTGAAATTTGGCAGTGGAGAAAAGAACGCCGATATCATCTCACTGAAGTAATTCAAAATCTTTTGTTCATTGCACAATAAACTTGCTAAAGTTTGCTCTTTACCCCAAATGTTTGTCAACTCAACATAGATTGAAATTTTCTTTCTTTGCAATTGTAAATTTGTGGCGAAACAACCAATCTAACCACTTGCAGGAAAAAGTGATAAGGTAGCAAACTATGCACACATTGTCCCAGAAAGACCTGATGAACTTCAATTTTGAGAACAGTGAACAATTTATTTGGAGGTGACCGAATAACGGAACATGGTCAATCTATAGGTTCCACAGTAAAACTTTTCCATTTCAGCCATGTTGGTTTTTGTAGGGTAGGGGCCATTTTTTTTTTTTTTTTAAGCAATGCTTTGACTTTTTTTTTCATGATACTGGGGAAGCTTGGGTGGAGTGGCAGTGATATATATCATGATTTAATGCAATCTTACTTAAAGCAATATTGTAAAGACCGTGATAATTTTTGACTAGTTCTACCTCCAGTTACTCGCAAACTTGTCAATTTAAAAAATCTTCCATTAACATTACGAGTGAGGCTAACAGTTGCACTTAGGGTATTCTATGTGGTGTTTTTTTTGGGGGGGGGGGGGGGTTTGGAGGGGTGGGTTTGGGGGGGTATCAGTTGTTTGCTTTCAAAATTGGCATTCATTTTATGTGAAAACATGCATGGGTACAATTTTTTTTTAAAGTTATTGTTAATTTGGTCCCTGCCCTTAATCAAACTGCCACGTGGCTGAAAGGGAAATCTAATTTTTTAAATGGTAGAACTGCGTAACACTGGACATTTTTCATGTCAATATAGACAGATGTTTTCCAACATGTGAACACATATTGAATATGAAGCTGTCTGTTTTTGGTGATAGAAACGGCAGATATATACTGGTGCAATTTACGTCAGGACCAACAGAAACATTGGAGGTCACATGTGAGGTCACGCTCCCTAATTTGATTATGCAAATTTTAGTAACTTATGCTAATTAGTGACATGTATATTCAAATTGGCTCAGGTGTCACATGTTCTCTCCAAGTGCCCCCTCAGATTAAAATAAATGTAGAATTGCAGACATTTAAGAAGCTAGTGACAACATAGGTTTTGCCAGAGGTAAAATACAAGTTCAAAACTTAATTTCACATTGTAAAAGGCCATTTTTTAACCATTTCATATGAAGGGTGTTTTCTTTTTGTTTGTCATTTTTGTACATTTTTCTGTAACTTAAAACAAAGAAATTGGAATGTTCTTATTAATGAAGCATTTATTAATTGCAGATGACAATTTGTTCTGTTTTTAATTTTGGGGCCACTGTAGAATTTTGTGTTCCATTCTTGGGAGAGTTTGAATGTATTTTTCATACTTCTATTTAATGCTCTTTTAAGTTTTAAGTATCTTTTTAAGCCAAAAATGGTAAGATTTTCCTATCTGTTGTCATGTAACAGGGATCTAGATTTATAAGTTGGAAAGGGAATAAAAAACAATTAATTTTAGTAGCTGAACATCTGTTTCTGAATGAAATATCGTGATTGGTCACTTCTCAAATAGTGAGCCAATCACGGACAAAAGGCAGGAAAATCTTGCACCTGATTGGCTGTCAGACATGAAATGTGTTTTTTTTTATTGGTCAGTGCACTCTCCCAAACAGCAGTAGATCATGTAGAAATGGGGTAACAAAAATTCGTAAAAATGAGTAAAAAAAAAGAAATAAAAAAAATGTTTGACTTCTGTACAGGAACTAAGTGTCATTTAGTGAATCTGTTGGTCTTCCTTGTCCTTCTGGTCTTTGTTACATTTTGTCTTAATAACGATTCCAGAGATGTGAAAAGGATGAGGGGTAGTCTTACCCCTTACAAATCTATCCCTCACAAGTTGCAAGTAAATCACAAAGTAATGCCTTTGTTATACTTTGTGTGCACAGCTTGTGATACAATAGGCCTGGATGAATTGCTATTTACTTAATTGTTACTGTTAGGACTTGTGATATTAAGTCCGAATTTCAGCCAAGGAAATTAATTCTGGTTGAAATAAGAGCATTTTGAAACTGTACTTTCGAAAACTTTAGTACATGAGAACAAAGAAATGTCTCCACAAGCTAGGATACAAATTTCAGTATGTGTGCACTCACATCCACAAAAAGTTTACAGGTGACTGATATAATTTTCAGTAATTTTGAAATAAAGATTGTTGGGCCTAATTATACTTTGCTGCTCATAATTTTCGCTTGAACAATCAGTTGAATTTTTTTTGGTAGGTTACTGGAGTACTAGCGTTCAAACAAACAGGTCTGGATGTTGTGCAACTTTCACGTTTTCGAACATGTAGTTCGCGCCATTATTGGTAACAATGATTTGTGTCGACACGGACTACGCGTTGTTTGACTTGTGGACTTTCGGCGGGTTTTTTTTTACGGCAGATGATTACATGCATGGTCTACGCGCGCCGTGACAAGTTTTACCTGTTTACAGGTAGGTTTGTTTAAGATTCGCTTCAATTTTTTAAGTGTAATTTTCACAATCAGATCTTTGTAGAATATTGACAGAACTTATTTCATTTTATCTGCTGGCATTTATAGATAAATGTTGTGATGGAGTTAGGATATCTGAAGAGCATAAAAGTGTGATTTTGAGCCCTGGATAAACCAGAAGTGTGTGAAGAAATTTTGTGAGAGGAGATAGGTCTAATGTATAACGTTATTCAGAGTACTACTACTACTACCGGTACGTACGCATGGCCGGCCAAGACCGGTGAACTTTGGCGGGCTTTTCTGACACTACCATGCCGCGGCCGTCACTAGTTTTACAGGTACATTTGCCTAAGTTTTGCTTCAGTTTTCAAGTAGGCTTATTATAATTTTCATAGCAATATTAACGGTGCTGTAAATTATTGACTGGACTTTAGCGTTTCATTTTAGTTTATTGAAGTGAACTCACCCAACTAGTCGGTGATATTTGAAACCATTAACAGTGCAAATTTGTTGGGTGGGTTTTGTTTTGACAGAAATTTTGGGGTAAAAGGATGATGATCATGAATACAACAAAACGCGACATGAAAATAAAGATGGGGATCACAGTTAATGTTTACCTATTTGTCAGACTAAGATCATGAGTAATGAAAAACATGCAAAGCAAAATCAGGCTTTTAAACTCTTTAACTCTTTAACCAGCAAAATTCTCCAAAATTGTCATTGGGCAAAGAAAAGGTCCTCAGTATTTCAACAACCAAGTTTGAAGACTCAATTCTTTTCTTCAATATTTTGCAGATGAGAGAGAAGTCAACTGATCTCAAAATGAGGCAAAATAGTCCAACTGTTTAAAAAGACTGACCTCTTCATTCATTGTTATTAGGTAGGTGGCTGACTATGGAGACATGTGTATAAATAGAGACTATACCAGACACTTGTGCCAGATGTATCTTTTGGCACAGTTGATTGATGCAGTACTGAAGGGTTGTTGGACTGGTTGTTTCAGGTGCCAGTCTATTTTCTTATGTTGCATGTTTTCAATACATTTGGAACTCTCATACGCAATATCGAGAGTCCCAAATTTTCAGACTACCTATTTGTGTGCCTTTTACAGATTTTTTACCAAAAATTAAAGCCATAGGCCTATTGCTCCTTTTAAAAGTTTTATTTAATAGGCCTACCTGATCTTTATTGAATTAGTATTTTTTTTACTGCTTTTAGTTCTACGATTGTTTACTTGATTTTTTTTTTTACAGGGGCAGGCCCTGTACGTATATGGAGTGAAGCAGCAAAAAATGAACCAACCACCAGGACCCAAGAACTCAACAAAATGCCGTCCACTAGAACGTGAGTCCTTTGAGTTTGTGTTGTACTTTTGTCTCCTTCCCTCCTGAGCCCATTGATTTTGGATACCATGCTTTAGGTAAATGTCAAGGTTACATGCATTAAAATAATATAAAATGTTTTCCTCAGGCAGTCAGGGTATCTCAAACAACCTGACATGTCGCCTTCAAGGTTGTAAATATGGATTGAGTATATTGGACCCCATAAGCGAAAAGAAGAACTGCATTCAGGATAGTTCAGGAACAACTTGTGTTAGGGTTTGCTGAAGCCTAATTAGTTTGGATCTCGTAGGTCAAAGCTCAAGGTCATTAACGTTCCATCTTTTCAAGCGTAATTTTAGCAATACCAAATGTTTATTACATCAACTTCACATATGATATGTTAGTTGTTTAGAACAGGGGCGGATCTAAGCTTTCAGGAAACGGGGGGGGATATGGGTGGTCTAAATGACGGGCTTGGGTGTGTTAGTCAACTGGACGTGCAGTCCATGTTTATCGCCCGACTGTCAGTTGTTTTTTAGTTGTATTCTTTTACAATTAAAGTTGAATTTTTTTTTAGTGTTATTAAATTACCCCTAGCATTTAGGCCAAATTGCATTTTTGTCTGATTTTGAGCGAATATAGTTTTTCACGTAATTCAGTGAAGTTGTTCAGTGAAGTTGGTATTATTGTCAATGATGTTAAGTTCTTGCAGGCCCTTGTTAGGCATGTACACCGCATATTACACCGACTAAGACACTTTAGTATTGCCTTTATAGATGACACTTTGTGAAGTTTAAGGCAGAATTTTGGCCATTGACTGCCCCTTGAAGTGTTAAGGCCAAACAAAATATATTTCTGCTTCTGATTAAATGGCATTTGAAATTAAGGTAGGTAGGGAATTTTTGGGGGTGTTTTTTTTTTTCATTTTCTTTTGATCATATATGTCCGCGTGTAGTCAAGGTAAAAGGTACTACATGTGTAATTGATGGTTTGTTTTTTTCCTCAGACTAATTCCCCCCCCCCCCAAAAAAGGGTAGGGCCT